TTCAAAAATGCAGGTCCTTTCAGGTACCTTCTTAAAAAAAAAAAGAGATCACACTCCAACAGAGCTAAGCCTGGAGGTTTGTCCCTCTGTTGACATCTCAGCACATGTGGTGGGGTGGAGATTAGCAGCTGGGAATGCCTCCAACCAAAATTCGGGGCAGGGGGGAAATATTTGCATTTTTATCGTGCTACCTGCCAGTCTTCAGTGGGACAGGGACACCTTCAGCAAGCTCCACCGCTTCTCCTTTCACATCCTTTCCTGGACAGCCCCACGATTTGCTTTGGGGTCCATTTTTCAGTTCCAAATCTCAGCCCAAGCACAGAAAGGCCCCGTTTCTGCCTGTGCTTGAACAGACCGTGGTCTGCCTCAGGAGATTCGTGCATATAATAGTGACCTGCCTTGGAAGCTTCAGACAGAGATATAAAACTCGAGGACAGGCTGTTTTGCAATAGCGTGCCCCCAGGGGAAATCTCTTCCTAACTGCAGGCAGCTAGTAGCTGGCTTGGAGTGCTTATATCCGTATATATATTAATCCCAGCTAATGTAACTACAGATGTTCTCATTCATAGCCCTATCTAATCCTGTTGGGCCCTTGCCATGGTGTCTCGTAGCATGAGTTCTACGAGTTAATTACGTGCGGTGCAAAGAAGCGTTTCCTTTTATCGTCGAAAAAGGTTGCCTTTTTACACGCCTTGAATGTCCCTTTGTTCCTGTGTTTTAAGGACCAGTGAAGAGGAGCACCTGTCTGACCTTCTCGGTGCTGCGCGTTGCTTGGCATCCCTCCACCGTCTCTTGGCAAGGCGTCTCTAATCTTTTCCGTCGCCCTCAGATGGGTGCCTCTCCGTGCCTTTCACTCCCGTTCCCCAGCTGAGGACGCACTCTTGATTTCTATAGTGTCGTGATATTATACTCAGTGTTACTCTCTACCCCTTTTCATCACGCAACCTACTATCTCGTTGCTCTTCTGAGCTCCGTTGCAATCAGCCAGATGTTTCATTGACTCCTAGATCTTTTCCTGGAGTGGCTGCGGTTAATTGGGACCCTTCAGCGTGGATGAGCCATCCTGTTCCCTCCTTCCAGTTACGCCTCCCGCTGTGCTCTGGTTTTTCTCTGCTAGCCCCTCACCCATTCCAGCCAGTTTGGGTCGGGCTGGTGGAAGACCTCTGCTATCTCCTCACGCTCAGACCAGCTGAGCTGAAGGTGCTCACCTAGAAATGCTTTTCGCTCCCTGCTTTCCAGGTCATGGTTATTAGACAAGAAAAAATCAGCTTTTGTGGGAAGAGGCATCCCACTGCTACCCTCATTCCCCACTAAAACCTCCCCGTGCGCTCCTGCTCCTTGTTTTATTCTCCACAGTCAGGTTTTTAAGCACAAAATCACTGTCTTTCACAAGAAATTCCTGGACATCTCTGCCACAGGCACCTATTAAATATTTTCCTTAAAGACTTTCTGAAAGGACCAAATCACAGCAGTTATTTTCCTTCCCCTCGATGCTGTGTGACCTAAAGACACGCCGTTTTCTTGCTCCGTTCCCGTTTGCTCCTCTCCAAACTCACTCAAGGCACCGTTTCATCCTCCTCTATGGGGTGATCCTTGTAAGCCAACCATGAGGATTTCAGATATTTTCCACTTTATTTTCCCTAGAGATGGCCCTCCTTTCAGTGAGGTTTTCCCAGCCTGGTTGCCTCGTGGTCTCTGCTCAGCGCAGGGGACTGCTGAGACCCTGCAGTGGGTGACAGACAAATGTTTGCACCTGGGGAAATCCGGGAGTGGAACTTTGTGAATCAAAAGATGCCAGTTAGAAAGGCAGTGAGGATGCCAAAGGGGTGTTCGCACCAATCACACCCCTTTTTGCGACTCTAGTGAGGTCTTTCCTCAATTTAGGGTTACAGCTCGAAGGAATTTGAACTCTACGGGAAAAATCAGCATTAACCACCAGCAGCCCAGCTACTCCATGGCTGGGGAAGGAGAAGAGCCTGTAATTGCTGGCTCCGAGTGTTTGCACTGGCCAGGGAACTGCAAATTACCTTTAATTGCTTCTAATTGCTGGCATTGATTCAGTTCCTCTGGGACAGGGACTGTGAATGTACATCTGCAGACACCGCTGAGACCACCTCCTGCCTCCCCTCGTCGGGAGGGTTGAGTTGCTGCTGATGGGGAGAGTTTTCTGGAAGGTAGAAAAGCCAAAATCGGGTCAAGCATCCCAGGAGCTGGCGTGCTGCTGCCCATGTAGTCACCCCAGGCTGGTGGGCTCCCGCACCACAGCGAGGAGTTGGGGACTGGTGGCAGAAAGCCCATCCCTGCACCCACAAATGATTTAACCCACCATGGAGGGAGCCATCTACCATCAGCCAGGGGCTTCTCCTGGTCCTGGTGGGGTCCTGGACCAAGAGTTTCTGATTCCCAGCTCCTCCGCCACTTCTCTACCCTGTAACCTTGGGCACATCACGTGTGTCCATGGGGACACAGTTAATGTCCTCGTGCTGCAGAGCCCTTGCAAGAGCCCAGCTTGAGGAGAGAGTAACCACCTCAGAGAGATACGGCTGTAAAAATAACCACGGCAGCTTTGGACAGGCTGTGTGGAGGCATTACCTCATGATAGAAGGAAGCAGCAGCATCGCTATTTATTTGTGTGATGTCCAGAGGCGTGATCTGTGCTCTGCAGCCTGTCCTCCAAGAGCCTGATTCTGTAAATCTTACTCATCACGAAGGCCTTTTTTTCCCTCTTTTTTTTGACACCCCCACCTCCCCTCGGCCAAGTGGTCCCACTGAAATCAGTGCAATCCATTCACATGGGGGAGGATTACTCACAGGATGGAGGTTTGCAGGCGATGCCGGAGACCAGCCCGGGGGACGCCTGAAACATGAGGCATGTTCCTCCCCATCCTCTTGCCCTTTGCCTCTTCTTGTGTAACCCTTCCCTGATTTGCTTATTTTGGTATTAACTCCTGCCTCTCTGCTCTTCTTTAACTCTTTTCTGTCCTGATACTGCTTCAGGCTCTTACCTAATGTTTTTTTATTTCTTCTCCCCTAGCTGAAGCCATCCCTTGGGGCTGCAGCGTGAGGGTTTTCCCACCTAAACGTCGCTCTGCTCCATGCACTCATCACCAGCCACACTTAGTTAGAGCTTTTCCAAGCAAAACTGGCTTTGACACAAAAGCAAATTTTCCGCTACGGGCAGCTGATTCCCAGAGGCAGCTCAACGCAGGGGTGGGG